AGAGCGCCACTGATCCATCCACATTCAACCAGATGTTCTAGCAATTTTGTAAATCTTATTTTCCCAAAATCTTGGAGAGCAACAGCAGGATCTATTGATGTGAATGATTTTGTCATCGAGTACTTTAAAGGGGACTTTACAAGAAGTTTGGAAATAAACTCAATGACGGCAGTTTTACACGTTCTTCTAAACAATGATATTTGTTCGTTAGATAGCTTCTTTGACTTCTTGGAGATTTTATTTTGAGTTGCAAAGCCAATTTCAATTTTGTTGTGGTGCAGAAGATTTTCCTCTATGTTCAGGTCTACTGAGATCTTCCTCTCTGACGGTTTTACAGCTCGTTCCATTAATCTATCGACGAGAACGCTAAGCCCGGTGTGCAGCATTGGAGCTAACGGCCAGTTGGACTGATAATCTTTCAAGAACGGCTCAGCATCAGTTGCCAGGGTTTTCAAAAATGCCAACTTTGGTCCAAGGATCCTTCACAAACGCACAACGATCTTGAAATTCGCTTATGTCGGCGCACACTTCTCTTCCGTGACTCGAGTAACAAAGGTCTTTAGGCTAGGTAGCACTTCAATGGCCCTTTGCACTACTGCCGAATTTTCGAGCCATTGGATGCAGCAAAACTTTAGGGGGAATAGCTAGAGTTCGTTAAGCGGATGTATAACCCTCTCCTGGCAGGAACATCTTTAAAGAGATTGTAGATGGCTCTGAGAAAGCGAGGTAAATCCCATCTAGTTGATGTCAGCGCTGTCTTAAACGTGTTGTGGACAGTGTGGATGCCACAACTACCAAAATCAATTGGTTCATTGTCATGACCATTTTCTTTAAGATCTGATTTCAGTTCCCTAAGAAATGCAAAATTAACGTTGGGCCCATCCATTGACACCTGTACCATGTTCTTTATTTCAATGCCTTCCAACGCTGACTTAATACTCTTTAGGAGATCTACAGATTTTTCTCCTGTCAGAAAGACAGAGGTTAAATACCTCGTGCTAACCAGGTCATTTTTATCATCCCAGAACCTGATCACAACATCTATTTGTTGTTTCTGGCTGATCTTGTTCAATGATTCGTCAAATGAAATAACAAACATTGATTTAGCAAAATCAGACAATAATTGGTTTTTAAAGTGGGGTGCGAGCCCATAAACCACTGTGTAGCCTATTTTTTATCGCAACAGCTCTAATTTATTTATCACATCATGATCAGGAAACATCAATTTCATAACATGGACATCTTTCACAGCGGTGCTCATAGTCTTGTGAGCCATTACTGTTTACTGTTTACCATAAAACTTCCGCTTTCGTCACTTGGTCGTTTAACAAATACTTTTTTAACCCACGAGGCGAGTCAAACGAAGACTGCAATGACGGCTGGGACACGCACGAAGCAGAAGTTGGTCCAATTTCAATATTTGTTTGAGAAGAAGTAGCACTTGGCATGTTTAGGCCTGAAGAAGATGAAGAAGACATTAAGCTGTTCCAGCGGAATTGGTTTTGATTTTGCTGATTGGATAAAAACATTTAGATCCGGTGCCTTTTTTCTTGCTTCAGCCTTTAATTTATGTTTTTGCCCTTGCATGTGGCTCGTCAGGGCACGTCGTCCCATACTTGCGATTGAGAATTTTGTTCCAGGACAAAGCAAACATTCCGAGCAGGGAGAAGGGAGAAGGGAGATAAATATCAGCAAAATTTTACTCCGAACATTTCCCCGAACATGACCAAGACCAGACGAATTCTACCGAGCGCGGCAAAAGGAAGTTTGGAGAGAGATGGAGAGTGTGTGCGAGTGAGAGCGCGGAGGCAGTGCCGTGGAAGGCTCCGACTGGTCCCAATCTAAAAAATGCACACCAGACCAAAGCCAAAAAGTTTCTATAACATAAAAATTATTGTTAAAAGTCGCATTTTGAAAACTTGTCGCAAAAATAAAATATTCTAGAAAGGATGCTTAGTTATATCTATTGATTTCTATTGGTTTTATTCATTGAAATAACGTTACAGAATGATCATTTTAATTGCCTTTAATAATATTAATGTTTATATTATTTTTGAAAGAATTGAAGTCAACATCAATTACTTAATTCAACCTTAATATTATTGATATAATTGATTTAACGGTTTCTACACTTTCAACCTTGACCAAACAAACCACAAACATTACATCTTAAATGATTATAATAAACGGCAACATATTACCCAACATTTATTTATTTTACCAATTAAAGAGTTTAATTGCCATATTAAATCAGAACTATCAATGCTAGCGCAGGCGGCCGCTCGGTGCGGCGCTCGCGACGATGTACGGGGCAAAAATGTACCGTGACACACTATCGTACATCGGACCGATCTTTTCTTTGATCTTTCGCCAAAAAACCGCCTCCAGAGCGCTCGTCTCCCTGCTCGGCCTGATGTCTTGATCGGTGTACGGACCCGTGACACACTATCGAACATCCTCCCTTCGACCTCCCTTCTCCCTTCTCCCTGCTCGGTTCGGGGAAAAGATTGATAGTGTGTCACCGTCTTAAAATCCGGGTCTGCAAACCACGAGTCTTGAAACAACGTTTTCCCGTGCGGCTTTACCATAGTGTCAGTGCACAACACTTCCTGCAAAAAAACAAGATAACAGGATATCGGCAAATCAAATCACGTCAGCTAATCACCTATAATTCTCAGGCCCAACGGCAATAAAACCAATATGTGCCATGTATCTTTGAGCAAATTCTTTAATGGAAATAATTACATATAGGCCTACTGTTAAAAAAGAATAGATAATTAGGCTCGCAAAATACAGCGGTACGGAACAAAACGTTATCATGTAGTCCCGTTTTAGTTTTTTTTTTCATATTATATTTACTTATTTTACCTGTAACCAGCTATAAAATCACATTTAAAGACTCACAGAGATTTAGAGCGATTAAACGGTATTCTTGAGGAAAAAATGTTTTCTTAGGCCTACTCAAGCAGTTCCTAAATACCAAATGTTAAGTTTTTCACATTATATTTAAATGAAATGAAAAATTCCTTTTTTTACCAGGCAAAGTTAGGGCCACATGGCCCTCTCTTAACCTGACAAACTTAAATATAAATAAATAAAAATACAATGAAATTTCTTAATCTAATATTTACTTACTAATATTTACCGATATTTAACTCATTTACATTTAAAAAAGGTAACATTTAGCTGTAAACTGGTATAAAATCGATAGTTACAACAAAAATGAACAAAGATTTAGAACTTTAAAACGATAATCTTGAGAGAAAATAGTTTTCTTAGGCCTACTTAAGCAGTTTTTAACTAGGTACCAAACGTTGCCTTTTTCACATTAATTTACCGATATTTAACTAACTTATGATTAACTGCAAACAATTTAATTTATAATCAATAATTTACTACAATTTAGGTTATTTATTTTCCAAAATGAACTAAAATTAAAATGTAGCAGATACAGTAGTTTAAAACAAAATTCGTGGTAACTTAGAAAATTATTTTCTTAAGCCTACTAAAGCAGTTCTTGATTGCCAAACGTTACGTTTTTTTGTGTTATATTGACAAATTATCAATTGTAAACAGCTATAAAATCGGTAATTATTACATTCATTCATAACGATATATTTTCAAAATTCTCAAATATAGTATAACTTACTTATCAAAGGTTTCCTAGCAAAAAACAAACCAGAGTTCAACACACCACCTTCATCTCCCCTTACATGAGTCACATTCCGGGGAATGCCATACCAATACCAGCTGTCCTGACCTCTCGACATTCCTACAGTAGGCCTACATAGCTATGATGTTTAATTCTGCCCTTGTTTATATTGATATGCAAAAACACATACCAGAAGTTACAGTACATAGCTATGACATCATTCTGCCCTTGTTTATATTGATATGCAATAAACATACCAGAAGTTAACACAGTCCATCTCCCTTACACGACTTACATTCCAGGGAATGCCTAATCCATAATAAATAACAGGCCTAGCCTCTCGACATAAATACAGTATATAACTATGACTCAACTCCTGACCTTGTTATTTTTAATTTGTTAGTCTTGTGTGAGATAAATTTAAAATAATTGAATTAGAATAAAAAAGACTTGAACAAGTTTTCAGGCTTCCTGAGCACCGGCTGGATTGCTGTTCGATGTTAGGAAGATTTGTAGTTTTTGGAATGGGTTGGAAAAATAACTTGTAGGCCTACTACACATTTATTTTAAAGGCTTTTTGGCTATAATCGCTGAAAATAGGTACTGTATCACCAGATAATATTATAATCAAATAATCTTAACACTTGGCTGAACTAGCCCTAACTGTTTGGTAATTCGTAAAACTAGGCCAATGTTTAACCTATACTAGTTTAGGCATTTACTAAACTAAATTAATAGGCCTATTTTAATTTATATCACTCACCTGCAAAGCTCGTTAACAGCACTATATCTCGTAGATATTGGTAACTACAGTAACATTCATGATAGAAACTAGAAACGAACAGTAAAGACCAAAACACACTGCAGAAGTGCCGCTGCCGGCTACAGTCAACAGTCCTGTGAGATTGGAGAGGAAGAGTTGGATGGAAGTCAGTTGCAGTTCAGCACAATGTAGTCTGCTTCCGGCGACCGGCGGCGTCGGCTTCCCGCGTAGGCCTATTTATGATGGTAGGTAGTGTACATCCAACTTACCTTCTTCTTCTTCCGAACCATCGCCACTCGCCAGTAAACCGTAAATTTTCGTTTACTATCAAATCAATCAAGAAAGTATTGCAAAATGGTTTATAACTATTAAAATTACTTAAAAAAACTGTCTTAATGAAACCAATTAAATTCACGGAAAAATTCGATTTTCACGCATATTTCCCGGTTTTTTCACGGCTGTTAAAATTCACGCATAATTCCCGATCTTCCCGGAATTCCCGGTTACTGACAACCCTGTAGAGAACATACTAATGGATCAGTTAAAAAACTATGATGGTAAGCTATACAAATAATTTGTACTCACCTAAATTCGAACACAGCTTGTTCCAAAGTGTCGAAACCAGGATAAAAAAAGGAGTTGAAATCAAATCCACTGCTGAAGAAGTCGCCAACACCTCTCAAGACCACAGCTTTGACATTATTATCTTGTCCAGCGATAATAAGACTATTTATCATTTTCAACATCATCTGTAAGAATAAATTTAACTTGAAATAGTTACCAGTGAGAGTTTGTTCAGTAGCCTGCCTACTTAGGCCGGTCTTGAAATATATTGTTGAAATAATATATATATTAAAAAATATTGTTGAAATGGCTTGTTTCACCAAGTTAACCACCATATAAGTTCGAGAACAATGATGAATGGACAGGGTGTCTGGGTCAATTTGACTAAAACTGTGAACAAAAACTCTATTGAAATGTTAAATCTCCCTTCAAAGTGCTAAAAATCCAAGGTCATTAAGTTCTGCCTCATTGGCGAAAATTTGGAATCAAAAGTTGTTGACAGCAATAGTCGAATATGTCCTTCATGATTTGAAACTGCTCTGCAACTACACAATTGTGTCTTCAGGGTCGTATTTAGCATTTTGGCACCCATAGGCCCACTAATTTTTCCGCCCCTAGTCTAGTTACATTCCTAGAAATCTTTATTGAAAAACCAATATCAGGCCCACAGCTCAAAGCAATTTTGCCATTGCAAGTTTTTTTTTTTATGTACTTCGTTCTGGCCTAGAGAAAATTCTGTCTTCAACACTTTTAGACATTGTAGTGTGCTCACGTTTTTCGGACTGAAACAAAACAATCAAACCAGGAGAGCATTCCTGCAACAAAGCATGGTCATTGCTGACTAGTGCTGTCGTAGTTGCTTCAAATTGCAGGCCCAAAAAACATGAGCTCAGTACAGTACTATTCAATTTACGTACATCAACGTGATGCCATAGATAAAACATACTCCCTCAGTAGATTTGTAATCCTTTTGAATCAGTTGAGGACAACTCTTGTTATATCAGTCTTTGAAAACCTCGTTTAACTAAATAAACACAAACTAATCATAAACAATAGCTTATTTAACGCCTGGTTAGTATTACAAGAAATCAAAACACAAATCTTAAAATTAACCCTAAAATTAAAGAAACAGAATTTTGTCCTCTCTAGTGCCAGTGGCACAAACATGGACTAGACATGAATATAATTTACATGATGAGAGGTATAATTTATTGTGTTGGTTGTCATTGGTGAGACCATAGCCTGTCTATAATCATGATACTGCATCTAGATTAAATATTCACAAAAAAAAAATGATTTGACCAATCGTACTGATCCTCAGGCCTGAGAAGAAAATGCCACTTAAATTACATTGAATGACATGCTTTGGAGAGTATTTAATCTTTCTAAATCCTATTGCAAACTCAGATCAATACTTTATCCATTCATTTAAGACGTTAATAGGATTAACTCATCATCTTTTCAACATTCAACATAACATATATTTTTACTTGTGGGTTGTTGAGGGCTAGCTAATCAAAAGATTTGTTATAGCATTTGTTTTTTGAGGTAAGGGTGGTAACAGTGTCTCGAAAATAACATTGGTACGCTCATGTGCCGTTACTAAGCAATCCGAGCAGTAGCACCGAGCCAGTGGTAGTGGCAATACTGCTTACTGCTCAACAACATCCCTACAGCCTTCTCCAGTGTTAAAGACCTTGAAGTTGATGCGTAGTGTCGGAAAAAGATCAACTTTACCACAATTATGTTTTCCAATGAAGTTCAAAATCATAATGCTTTATTAGTCCGAATTTAAGCAAATGATTCACAAAATATGTTAGGTCTAGATTATGGCTATTTATTTTTATTTCTAGATATTGAAAAAAATAATTTTTCATTCACCTCCTGGGAGCTTGCGCCGTAGGCACAGGCCTATTGGGAAATCCGACCCTGTATTTTAAGTTTCCAACAATTTCACCTACATACCCTTGAGATCATAAGAAGATATTCAGACATCAAAAAGAATCTTGTAGTAAAATAAAACATTAAAAGAAAAGTTGGCCTGCAGTGAAGCTATTTGCAATGGTGGTTTATGAGGTCTTAATTGACTAACCTCGGAAATAGATAGTTGTGGATAGGGAGCTGTACCAGAGAATTTTAAGCCAAGGAAGAGGGGTTGCTAAAAGAGAGCCAATAATTGCTTGTATCAATATTCTACATAAAGTAAACAAATAGTTTTTTGTCACACAACAGTCCCCCAACAAACCCCGTAGCCAAATAAGGGAATATTTAAGAGTTGGGATGAACTCTCAAAAAAAAATATCAGATTAGCTAGCCCCCGCAAAAGAATCAGGCTAGATCTAAGAAAGGAAATCCTTTCTATGAATTATTATAATTGGTTATTATGTATATAATTTTATATATTATCTATGACAATTAGGCCTAGCTTTTTTATTAGTAAAACATACCTCTAGTGTTATTCCATTTTGTTTAGATGGTCTGTTCATAGCGATGGTTAAAACACCATCACAAAGATACACATGAAGATCATCCATTTTGTTCCTGAAATGAATACATAATCCATTGCTAATGAAAATGTTGTGATCAAAATTAAATTATAATGTTGTTTAATTTCTTGACAATCTATTTAATAATAACGTTTATAAAGTATAGAAACAGTGGGTGTGTGTATGTTGAGCTCTTGCAACTCCCTAATTTTTCACATCCCAATATAACTTGTAGCTTATTCAGTGGCATGGTGACTGTGGAGCGTTCAGTTGCTCCAGGCACAAATAATAGAACCCTAAAAAAAAATCTGTTCTAGTAGGGTTCTATTATCTGTGCTCCAGGGCAGAAGGCTGAGGGAGGTAGAACTTAGGCCTATATTGGAGAAAATAAAAATTTTGTTCTAATTTAGCTACATAAATACAAAATTTAAGTCGAACTTTGGTCCAATTAAATTCAAATTGTCTTTATTTGTGTAGGCTACAGTATTTAAATAAAAAAAAATGTACCATGAATTGTGTCAAAATAATGAATAGCTTAATATAATAATGATGTAGGCTATTATGCTTTATCATCGAAATTATTATCTTTAAAAATACCAATGTTAAGCTTAAGTAGAAAAAGTAAAACTGTATAAAATCTTTTTTAATTAAAATTTTATAAGTTATTACATTTCCTAAATTCCAATATTCATCAAATGAATAAAGCGACAATGAAAGTAGATAGGCCCTATTCTTTGTGTGTTTTTTTTACATCAAACTATTTTCCTTTATTATATTTTTAGGTAGGCCTAAATTAAATAGGAACTCTTCTCAAAAGACTTACATTTATGATCTAATCAGCTAAGTTAAATATATTTATTTTACTAATATAGCTCAATAAAAAAACTTCAATTGTAATATTTGTAGATAGGCCTAGTATGTCATTTGTGACTGTTGCCGCTGTACTCACTGCCCAGCGAGAGGAGTGTGGGCAACGTGTGTGAAAACTATAAATCTGAAAGTACAAAAAATACATCAAATAGGCCTATCACCTGTAATAATATATTTGCACTTGTATTGTTGACTCACAAGATGGTTAATAGATGCAAAAGATGGTAAGTGGTGGTCAATTTTGATTGGACACTCCAATTATCATTCGCCTATTGGGTCTGATGATGATTGGAGTGTCAAAATTGATCACCACTTACCATCTTTTATACGTATTTAGTCTTGTAAGTCAACAGTATAAGTGCAAATATATTATTACAAGTGTTATTTGACATATTTTTAATACTTTCAGGTAATTTAATAACATATTAAATACGATGCTGATAAAGAAGTTGAAACTATAAATGTGGTGTATCATAGTGATGTTACGAGCCGATTACTTTCCTGACTTACTTGACTCGTACCCTCAACTCGACTCGACCTCGGACTGATCGCAGCCAGTTTCTCCAAGTGGATTTGTGGTTGATTCAAGTTGTCAAATGAGTCAGGCTCAACTCTCGAGTTAGCCGACTCGCTTTGGCCAATGGAGTGAGTTTTGCGAGTTGGACTCACGTTCGACCGTGTTGGTTTTCCGAGTCAAACTCTCTTAGAGGTAATGAGGTTTTAGTTTTACAAGTCAGTGGTTTTGAATCAGTTTGGTATTCTCAACATCATTATTTTTAAAGTAAAAATGTGAATGAACATAGGCCTACTTGTAAGTTATAAAGTAACAACCAGGCATATAACGATAAATCTATTGGGAAAGTTACAAAAATATATAGGCAGGCCTACAGAGAATTATAATAATCAATAAATATGATATTGCAGTAGCCTACGTACAAATATCAACAATCTTGGCCTATTTAAAAGTAAGTAACTGGTTGTATTCAAAAAGTATAAATCTTTAGACTAAAATGACTGTGGTAGCTGCAAAAGAATGTTGGAATATGAGTACAAGGTCTGTGATTGCGTCATTGAGTGATTGAGAATTGGAGGATTAAATTCAGGGCCGATTTACCGAATAGGCAAGGTAGGCACGTGCCTAGGGCGCGAGGCAATTGGCTTTTATGGGGGGCGCCAAAAAATTGGAAAATAAAAAAAATTGGTGGTTGTTTGCATGCGATTGCGGTAAACTTCTGATAATCCCTCGCGGCCGTGTAGACATCGTAATAGTCTCCCGCGTTTGCGGGGAGATTCTTACTATTTTCAGCAGTCAGGTCGTTTAGACATATTTATCATCTTCCATTATCGAAGCAATATATGAGCATATCCCGCGGTCGTGAGGAGATTATCATCGTCTACTGCGAATGAGGCAAAATTCTGATCTTTTCCCGCGGTTGTAATGTCCCGGGACATTATCTTCGTCTTGCGCGATCAAATTCTGACCACCCCTCGCGGACGTGAAGACATCATTATATCGTCCCCCACGGTCGTGTGAACATATTAATCGCCTCCCACGATTGTGACAAAATGGTAATCATCTCCCTTGGTCTTGTGGAGATCATCATCCTCTTCCGCAAATTAGGCAAAGTACTGAACTTTTCCCGCGATCGTGTGGCCATTATTATCGTCTTTCGTGATCGCGGCAATATTCTGATCATCCCTCGCGGCCGTGTAGAAATCGTAATCGTCTCCTGCGATTGTGGAAAATTGTAATCATCCCCTGTGGACGTGGACATATGCGGAGATCATCGTCTTCCGTGAATGAGGCAAAATTCTGATTTTTTCCCGCGTTCATGTGGACATTATCATTGTCTTGCGCGATCGTGGCATAATTCCGATCGTCCCTCGCGGCCGTGTAAATCATTATTGTATCTCCCGCGGTCCTGATGTAGACATCGTAACCGTCTCCCACGGTCGTGTATACATGGTAATCGTCTCCCGCGATTGCAGCAAAATGTTAATAATGTCCCGCAGTTGTGTGGAGATCATCATCGTCTTCCGCGATCGCGGTAAAATTCTTGCTGTTTCGCGCGGTCGTGTGGACATTATCATCGTCTTCCGTGATCGTGGCAATATTCTGAATATCTCGCGAGTGTAGACATATTATCGTCTCCCGCGGTCACGGAAACTGTTGTCATGCGCGATCACGGATATTTGAAAACTCCAGGTAGGAATACAAAATTCACACATAATTCCCGGTTCATAAAATTCCCGCATGATTCCCGGATTTCCCGGTCGGTGGACACCCTTTGCAAAGGGGCGCTACTATTAGTTGTGCCTAGGGTGCTAACAGGGTCAAAAACGGGCCTGATTAAATTGGGTTGTGACCAACTATTGGTTAGTGCGGACGTTCGAAATAATTTGGGTATTACTGTCGTAAGATAATATAGACGTGAGTGGTGAGTCGAGTTTGACTCGAGTAACTCGAGTCAAGTATTAGGCCTATCTAGACTCGAGTCAAACTCAACTCACGACTATGTAAACTCGAGTCGACTCGCAACGCAGCCGATAGGGTTGCAGTTTGGCGAGTTGGCTCAACTCGCATTCAGCCAATAGAGTTTACATGTCGCGAGTCAACCGAGTATACACTCGTTATGACCCAAGTTCGTAAAGGTTCGGCTTTCTCCATATGAGTTCGGATTCTTGACTCGCTATGAGGCTGTGAGCCAATAGAGTTCAAGTTTTGCGAGTCAGACTCGTTACGTTCAGTTTGTGTAGCTTCGGCAATCTCCCTACGAGTTTGTACCAACTCGAGCTGTGAATGAGATGTCCTTAAGTCACCTTGACTCGTCACATCAGAGAAGATATTAATATCTTGAGAATAGGCTATTTATTCCCTGATAGCTAGTCATAGCGGTGCTGGTGGTAAACATTATTTTGAATTGTACCAAGAGTAACTTAATTTTACTCTTGAGGCCTGACAAACCTAGGTTGAAGGATTTGGCGCGCGTTGTTGACCACGCGGGCCAGTAGGTAGCCTATATAGGGATAACTAGGTAGGCCTAGGTGCTAAGTTATGCATTTTATCCGTAGGCCTATGTTGTTTAGTAGGCTAGTCCTAGGCTAACCTCTAACCAATTAGCCTACTGCAAACTGGGCCTATGCCAAATAGCACAGTATACTTTTAAGTATTAATTTACTCTAGGCTAAGTTAATGCCAAGTTATTGAACGTGCCTAAGAGTCCAGATTTCCCTACAAGACTACAGATAATTTCACCTATGTTAATGGTTGGTAATTTAACTGGTAACTATAGCCTTTCTTAAATGCATGTAGGCATAGGCCTATTATTAAACTTTCTTAGTTATGCCTACACTTATACAAGACTATAAATACTTATTACAAGACTATACTTAGTAAAGTGAAAATATACGTACACAAGAGTGACGAAATCTGGTAAGTAGATTTATGGATGAATACGGATTATAATTCTCGAAAGAAAAGAAAAAAGAACTAGAATATGAATAGGCACGAGGAAGCTAGACTAGACCTAGACCAGTACAGTAGACCGGGGACCGGAAAAAAAGAAACAGAAGAATTAGCAATAGGTTATTAGATTGGAATGGAATGAATATGAGTAGAGTATAGAGTATGGACTCGGTTTCCTCCTTCGTTCCTCTCAAAAACAGAGAGGCTGAGAGGCATATAGCTCAGTGGCATGAATGTAAACAAAATGTGATGTGGAAAGCGAATAGGGACCTCTTGGTGCCTCTTGTCTGGAATTTTTGATTTTGAGTTTTATATATATATATTTGAATTCCTTATTAAATTCCAAATCGATTGGTGCAAGTTCCACGCATGTATAATTTGGTTTGTTAAAGTTATAGGACTTTGAAATTTTTTATGGAAAAGGGTCATTTGGGGAAAAACTGTTTTGAAAATTTCAAATATGCATAAAAACGGTGTTTTTCATATTTAAGAAACGATTTTGGTATCAAAAGAAGAAATGCAATTTTGTTTCTTAACTCACGGTAGTTTTCATTAAAATAATTTTTTTATTGAAGCATGTCGTAAAAATCACATTCAGAAAAGGGACCTCTTGTCGGCCCTATGTTATTTCGCCATAAGATAAGAAAAGGTACCTCTTGTCGGGACCGCAAAAATTGTGAGATATTTTGTTTTTCGTAAACTGAACTTTGTTAATTTAAGCGTTATTAATTTCAGCAAACCCACCCCAGAGTCTGAGCCCATACAAAATAACTCCTTGAAAAAGGTATGTATAGGCTTTTTTAAACAGTTTTTATTCAGACAACTTTTTAGACTTCTCAAAAGGAAGATAACTCTGGAGAGTTTACTACATACCAAGGTTATATGAGGGTTCCAAGTCAGTTTTGTATCAATGCATACCCATGAGCTTAACAGAGATGTCATATCATGTTTAATGTTTTTCAGCGTAAATAACGAAGATTGTGTTTTGGTTTCATTGAGAGACAAGAAGTTAGCATGGAACCAAACCGAGGCATGTACAAGGGATTGCTCCATGAGCTCCACAAGATTTTGAAAATTGTTTGAGCTATGAACCAGTGTTGTGTCATCTGCATAACAAACCACGCCACCTTCAACATGACTGGGCAAATCATTTTTCATTATTATGAATAAGAAGAGGCCGGAGGACAGACCCCTACGGAACACCATGGGCAACAAGACGAGACCGAGAGCACTGGCCATTCACAACAACCAGCTGCTCACGTCCCCCCAAGTATGACCGGAGCAGTTGCAGCTCAACACCCCTGATTCCGTAATGATTTAACTTACAGAGCAGCACGTCATGATCCACAGTATCGAAAGCCTTACTAAGGTCACACAAGGTGGCCCCAACAAAGCCACCCGACTCAAAGGAGCTCAAGACACGCTGGATCAGGCTGTCCACCGCATCCACAGTGGACAGACCGGGCTGGAAACCATACTGGGAGGCAGAGAAGGTGTCCAATGAATGCCTGTAACTTCCCGATAAGTTCATCCTCAGGAAGATATATTCCTCTAGCCAGATTACCAAGAGTTGTCATTCTAGCATCAGAGAGCTCGTTACAGTCAAAGAGTAAGTGATCGGCTGTCTCTTCTGACCTATCACAGTGCCTACAGATCGGTTCACCATCAAATAAGCCCATCCGTTGTAAATGTTTCCTGAATCGCCCATGACCAGTTATCAGTTCTACAGTTAATTTAATTCTGCGTCTATCTAGTCTCAAAAGGTCGGAGGCAACCTTTTTAGAAGGCCTAAACAGAATAAGCTTGCTGACCCTAAGAAGGGGAGTATCAACCCAGCGTTTACGATGCTTTTCTTTGGCCCATGTCGCAATCGAAGAGCATGCACTGTTTCGTGAAATGCCACAAAAGAGTTGTGGGCCTATCATGGTTGTCGCAGAGGCAGTATTTGCCAATCTGTCTGCAGCTTCATTGCCTTTTATGCCTGAGTGTCCCGGCACCCAGCAGAGCGTAAGATCATTACTCCTACCCAACTCAGACACAGAAACAAGGCAGTCCCACACGAGCCTAGAGTTGAAGAGTTTAGTGTTTTTAAGGTTGCTTGACTATCAGTATATTGATTGTTTTGTCTCTGATCTCTTTATTAAGATGTTCTCGAGCACAAACCAAGATGGCAGTGACCTCCGCTTGAAAAACAGTTGGGTACACCCCCATAGGAAGATAAATGGCAGTGCCTTCGTTTATCCGGTGCACACCTACTCCAGTGCCCCCATCTTTGATCTTAGAACCATCAGTGTAGCATTCTAAATCACCTGTGGGGATGGGCCCTTTCCCGCCAGACCAATCTTCCCTGTCTGGTATTAGTACTTTGAAAGGCTTTCCAAAGTAGTATTGTTTGGACATGTGATCTGAAGGTAGGTCCAACTCATCATTATGTACCACCTGAACAATTTTGGAGTCCCCTTTATTATTTCCTGTGGTCACCCATAAGTTTTCGCATCTAAGGCGTAGGGCTGTTTTTCTTGCTACCACCTTGATAAAAAAAACATCGATAGGTAACATATCAAGCAGACAATCTAGAGCTGCTCCAGGACAGCTACTTACTGCCCCAGTTATCATTATAAGAGCAAGCCTTTGAACTCCTGCTAAAGCTTTGGCAGCTGCAGTAGATTCCATCTTAGGCCACCACACAAGCGAACCATATGTAAGGGCGGGTCGGACAACAGATACATACAGCCAGTGCAAGAGTATGGGCTGTAACCCCCATGTTCCACCTACCATCCGCCTGCATGCCATAAGGGACCACTTACAACGTTCGATAACTTTTTGAAGATGTGGTCCCCAGTGAAGTGATCTGTCCAAAATTACACCTAGATACTTCACCTGATTCTGCAGCTCTATTTCAGTACCCTGCAGTCTTAGTGGACCAATCCCATCCAGTTTCCTCCTTCTTGTGAAGGGTACCAGTACAACTTTCCTGGGATTAATAGAAAGCCCAACTTCTTGACACCAACGAACCACCACCCTTAAAGCTCTATTCATAAGGTCAGTTATGGTTCCGTGGAATTTTCCAACCACAAGGATTGCAACATCATCAGCATAACCTAAGGCAAAAACCCCACTTTCATTAAGGGTCCTTATAAGGTCATCTGCCACCAAGTTCCAGAGGAGAGGAGAAAGAACCCCACCTTGGGGGCAACCTCGAGTTGTTCTTGCCTCAATCGTGTCATTGTGGAGTGAAAGCCTGACCTTCCTACTATGAAGCAAGGATTCAATCAACTTACACACAATTCCGTGAAAGCGTCTAGCTCTCACAGCGTTAAGAAAGCACCCTGAATATCAAGAAAGGCACCCAGGGCCACCTCACTACTCTCTAGAGCCTTCTCAATCTTACTTACGAGTTGATGCAGCGCGGTCTCGCATGATCTACCCGCAACGTACGCATGCTGATTGTTATGAATAGGATTAGTCCTAAGAGCTGTATCCATCATGTATCTTGAGACCAACTTTTCTAGGATCTTAGGGAAGAAAGAAGATAGAGAAATAGGTCTGAATGACTTAGGATCAGTGTAACTATCCCTCCCTTGTTTTGGAATAAATGCAATACGAGAATTACACCACCCTGAGGGAATGTGTCTTAAGGCTAGACTTGCTATGACAAGTTTACAGAGTGGGTGAATTATAATGTCTAGACCTTCCTGTAAGCAAACAGGTCTTACCTCATCAGGACCCGGCGATTTGAAGGGTCGTAATAGACCAACAGCCCATCTTACCTTGCTGAAGGTGAATATGCGGCAAGCAGTGCTCCACATAGAATGGGTTAAAAACCTTATGTATTCTAGAAGTGTCTTTAATACTTTCTAAATTACCACAAAAACTTTTCCATGAGAGCCTTTTGGCCTTTCGTACTGCATGGTTATATTCTGTGAGAACATTATGATATGTATCCCAGTTGTTGTTTTTCTTAGCTTGCCTGAAATGAGCCCTAACTCTCTTCCTGAGAGAAGCAAGTTCGGGACCCCACCAGCCAGCCCTATTGCTTTTACTTTTGCGCAGAGGGCAACTATCCTCGAAGGAAGAAACTATACACCTAGTTAGACGGTCTGCCGCCTCGTTAAGTGTATCAACTGTATTAATTAGAGATGTATTAAGATTTGAGGCAATCTTGCCCCGAAGATCGGCTCTGTAGGAGCCCCAGTCTGTCTTACCTGGGCTCCTGAACAAGCGAGCTTCGCCGCAAAAACTCCCCAACCTAAAGACAATGTGCCTATGATCAGACAGGGATGGCTCAAGAGACACTGACCAGTCAGTAATCCTGTTAGCCATACCCGCTGAACACATCGTAAGATCAAATACTGATTGACCTATCCTACTTAAGAAAGTTGGTTCTGAGCCTACGTTTGCTACAAGAAGGCCGCAAGAAACTAGGTACTCTAGAAGTGGCCTACCTCTGTTGTTAGTATCCCTGCATCCCCAGGCCGTGTTATGGGCATTGGAGTCGCAGCCTATCACGAGTTCAGCTCCAGACTCCTGTGCGAGGTCAACCGTTCTCCTGACCCCAGCCGATGGGAACAATCCCTCGTCGCCCTGTGGCATGTAAACAGAGGCCAACAGCAGTTTTGTGTCGGATTTAGCACATACAGTCTTAATTACTGTTACATCCCTCGACACAAAGCTCTAGAACTGGATTACATTTAAGCCCCTCTTTAACCCAAATGCAAGTTCTAGGGTGTGTGGTACAGACGCGGAAATGACATTACCCTTAATAGTACCCATCCCCGCAATTCTAAAGTTATTGACCCAGGGTTCCTGAATCAAGGAAAAATCTAAGGACTGCTTGACCGTGCTCATACAGAACAAGGCTGTAGCAGCCTTACTGTGTTGTAGGTTCGCTAGAAGGACCTGGGTCATCAGAAGAAGCACCAGAGATGACTCTGAGCTGCAGTTTCCCCAGACCCAGGTATATAATCCAGCCACGATCTTTCAGAACCTGCGCATTCAGTTCATCAATAGCAAGAACAAGAATCTGATGATCATCCTTCTTCTTCCCACCAATGACACGCCAGTCTTTAGTCGTGAC